CTTACATCTTATAAAGTATTCTTTTACGACGTTTTTTTTTTTTTTCATTTTAAACGTACTATAAAATCAATTTTCGTTGTGGAGTATTTTTTTCTTGAAATGTGAAAGAAATTATTACGTCATGTTAGTAACAAGTTTCAAACTTTTAGGACAAGATCTAAATAAACTCGGACATATCAGTGTTGTAGTTGCTAATATCTTGAAAATTAACTCGATCATGCATAATATCAAAAGCTAGACAGATTTATAACTGTTCTTAAAGATTAATTACAATAAAATTGGATTTATAGTACGTGATCAATAAGTAAACATCCTAATAGACTACTTTATAAGACATAATTTTTAAGAACAAAAAATAAAACGTCCTATCTAAAGACGTTGTAATAAATTTATAGGACGTTTTTGGACGTCGTAACAAATTTGTTAGGATACTTGTATAAAAAACGTGATTTTAGCTATTTTATAAGATATTATTTGAAAAAATGATTCTGTAAAAAGTTGGGTTTACAGAAACTGTCTCAAAAGTGTCCTATAAAATATCCAATGAGGTGTTTTATATTAAAAGTTTCCTAAAAAAAACTTGTTAAGACGTCCAAAAGTATCATATAAACTTATTACAATGCCTTTATATATGACGCTTTATTTTTTTGTCTTATAAATTGTGTTTTATAAAGTGCACTGTTAGGACACTTATTTTTTTGGTGACGACCTATAAGTGCAATTTTGTTGTAGTGATTATTCGTAGGAGATTCACAAGGTTCACTTAGGGTGCGTTTGGTGCGCAGACAGAACTGGACTGGACATGACAGAACTGGACATGACATGACTGGACAGGACAGGACGGGACAGGACAGGACATGACAGCTGTTCAGCGTTTGGTAAGACAGGACATGACAGAACAAAACTGGTTCAAATGACCAATTTACCCCAGTGAGCTGTTTAGTATTTTTTTCACTACGAAATGCATTCTGGTAACAGTAGGATCAATAGTCAATAAGATGGAGTCACTAGCATAAATCAAGTAGCATAAATCAAGTAGCAACTTGTTCTTCTGTGTCTGTTTAATCTCAATAGCATAAATCAAGTAGCAAATTTAACCAGAAACAAATTGATGCAGGGGGCAGTGGTATATGTGCATCTCTGGTTCAATCTAACACAAGACACAATCAAGCAATTATCCTAAAGAATACACTGGTCCTACTACCACTACAGCCCTAATAATTCATCAACAACAACAACATTCAGCAATGGTAGCACATACGAAATCAAATCGACGATTCGAACAAAAAACTGAAAAACCTGCTAAATATGTACGATTCGAACAAAAACTGAAATGGTAGCACATACGAAATCAAATCGACGCACAAGTAAGTAAAGAACAGTCGATTGAAACAGTCGATTGGAAGTCGATTGAAACAGTCAATTGAAATCGGGATGAGAAGTCAGCGATTAGAAGTCGCGTACCTGGAAGTCGCATACCTGAGTATGGAGAGAGGAGAAACGCCGATTGGAAGTCGATTAGAAGTCGATTAGAAGCGCCGATTGGAAGTCGATTAGAAGTCGCCGATGGAGTTGCGCCGATTGGAAGTCGATTAGAAGTCGGTGATTGGAAGTCGATTAGAAGCGCCGATTGGAAGTCGATTAGAAGTCGTCGATGGAGTTGCCGTCGATGGAGTTGAAGGAAGCGATGGAGGAGAAGGGGGGTTAGGTCTTTATGCGAATGAGTCGGGTGGGGAAAGGGTAGTGTGGTAAAAAAAGTTGTGTTCCACTTAGTTTTAGGGGGTAAAGGAGAACAAGCGTGTCCCATTCTTGTACTACCTAGTTCTACTTAGTTCCACATTAAGCCACACCAAACGTAGGACAAATCTGTTCTGTCCTGTCCTGTCCCACCCTGTCCAGCGTACCAAACACACCCTTAATAGCACTAAATCCATGGGAAGAAAACAATATTGAAAACCATCCAAGAACCCAATATATATATAGTTTATTTCAAATGCAACTCATCACATTTGTACAACTAATGCAACCCAATAAATTGAAATATTTATGGAAATAATAAGAGTTCATTTATTATGATTTAAATATTTATGGAAGATGAATAATGTTCATTAATTATGATCAATACTTTATATTAGAAAACAATCAAAACTTCTATGAAATTACATATTCATCAAATTGAATGGACGGTTGAGATTGAGTTGTATTGGTTGCACAAATGTCAAAGGTTGTATATTAACCAACCTCTCTCTCTATATATGTATATAGTTTATGAGGATAAGATATACACAAACATTACCTTCTTTTATCTCATACCTGGACTCTACCTCATAGGGCCTAGGGTTATTTTCATAAAGAACCGTGGGTTGCAAAAAGAGAATAAAAAAACAAGGGCAAAAATTGAGACATGTGAGAAAAGTAAGATAGTAATATAGAAGTGTGTACAAACATGCAATAGGTATGAGGAACATACAATAAAAGACAAAACAAAGCATAAATAAGACACTATGAACAAGAAAACTAAAGCAACTCTCACAACAATATGGATGAGAATGCATAATTGGTCATCAATAGTACTACTAAACCATACATACAATTTATAAACTCCAATTGACCATCAAATTTAACCACAACGGGGTTTCAAGATTCCCGGTGTTTCGTCAAGAATAATCTTCTACTTAATTACTACACGAACACCAATATTAGAGTTTCAAGATTTCCTGTGTTTCGTCAAGAATAATCTCCTACTTAATTACTACACGAACACCAATCTTAGGGTTTTGTAGTACGAACGTTAACATATCGAAGGCCGAAACACATGCACACACACATTAATGGTAAAAGGGTACATAATTAGTTCAGTGATTAAGTGGAAGAAAGTATGAACAACCAAATCTTGTGTTAAATATATACAATAAACCTGAGCTTTAATTCACCTTTATTTTCACAATCATGGGATATATATAGAGTTTGTTTCAAATACAACCCATCGCATTTGTACAACCAATGCAACCCAATCAATTGAGGTATTTATGGAAATGATGAGAGTTCATTTCTTATGATTTGAATATTTATGGAAGATGAATATGGTTCATTAATTATGATCAATACTTTATATTAGGAAACAATCAAAACTTCTATAAAATCACATATTAATCAAATGAAACGGACGGTTGAGATTGAGTTGTATTAGTTATACAAATGTCAAGAGTTGTATAATAACCAACCTCTCGCTCTCTCTCTCTCGCTCGCTCTCTCTCTCTCTCTCTCTATATATATATATATATATGGGGAAGGGTTCAAACGAGAACCCTTGTGATTTACAAGAACGCGAGAACAACCCAATAACCTCACATTGTGAAAAAAAAAATTAAAAGATTTTTAAAATTAAAATTGAAATTGAAAAAGATTAAAAAAAAATTAAAATTAAAAGGGTAATAATGAAAATGATATCATCAAATCTTTTAAACACGATCATTATTATCATTAACCTTATCATTATCTGGTAAACGGTTAAGAATTCAAGGAGATTCATAACTTCAAAGCACAAAACAACCGACCGAAGCAAACCTTGATCGACGGTGATCGACCAAGAACAAGCAACCCTAATCATGTGATAATCATGTGATATGGGTGTGATAATCATATGATAGGGGTGTGATAATCACCGTTATACACCACTTGTGTTATCGTTTTGGTTGATAAGTTAAATTTTTGGTGTAATCATGTGATATAAGTGTGATAATCATGTGAGATAGGTGTGATAATCACCGTTATACATCACTTGGGTTATCGTTTTGGTTAATAAGTTAAATTTTTCGGTGTAATCATGTGATATGGGTGTGATAATCACCGTTATACATCACTTGGGTTATCGTTTTAGTTGATAAGTTAAATTTTTGGTGTGATAATCATGTGATATGGGTGTGATAATCATGTGATATGGGTGTGATAATCACCGTTATACAACATGGGTTATCGTTTTGATTGATAAGTTAAATTTTTGGTATAATCATGTGATATGGGTGTGATATAGAGAAGAAGAAAACTAACAAGAGTAAAACGTGAAAACGTGATAGGATTATTATGGTTAATTAAAATAAAATAAAAATTATAAAAATTATTTAATTACATTACTGCCCTTATTAAATTATTTATATATAATAAAAGTTAATTTATTAATTAAAAAAGTTTGAGGTTATTAAGTTGTTCTCACGTTTTCGTAAATCACAACGGTTCTCGTTTAAACCTCCATATATATATATATATATATATATATATATATATATATATATATATATATGATTAACTAATATTAAGGTTACTTTAGAGCAACAAAAGCCTTGAAACTAGGTACTCACAATGGAGATAATGATTTGTAAAACTGGACACACTTAGTGGAGACTCTCTTGGGGTTATAAAGATTAATTTAATTATTAATTATTAATTAATAAAGAAAAAAACAATAAGAAAGGAACACCTAATCAGAAAAAAAGAGAGGCTAAAATCCTCACATGCCCAGATTATTATCCTTGAGAACACATGTTTATCCATCGAATTTAGCAAAACGACTTAAGAACCGAGAATGGAGTCTGATTCATTCAGAAAAAGTTGAAAAAAGTAAAGTAAAATAAAATAAAATATGGAGTTTCGTATTTATCTAGTCAATAATATCTGTTAGATGTTACTCAATTTAATGTGAAAAAACTAGTTGAAGTCTGTTGTCTGAATTTTAAAAAGTCAAACTGATTGATTTAACTCCCGAATCAATATAAAATAATTTTGATTCCAAGAACTGATAGCTACACCTTGATTTTACAATTAAGTATTTGCTGGAATTTAATTAAAAAATCAAACGTCGTTGTATTTAAAATGTTGATTCAGACATTTTTAAACTGGATCATTAAGCCCAAGAAGGAAGAACATCGGTTTAATTATCATGTTTGCTTTTAAAATAAGTCATAAGTGATGATAATAATTAGTGGGTTATATAAAATAGCTGAAAAGATGAAGAGGGTTTCACAAACACAGTACCAAACAACAAGACAATGAAGATTTGATCTTAATTCACAAATTTAAAGAACTAAGGCTACAGTTGGATCAACAGAATAGGGCTGAGTGGATTAATCCCATTGAAGATGGAACAAAAAAAGGTGAAGATGTGATGGTCAAATAATGAATGATGATCCATTCGTTTTGTCTGACCTTTTTCTTCAAGATTAGAGACTTCCAAGCTGTTAAAACGTCGGCCGGCTCGATGGGTTACCGGACCAACCACCGCCGTCCACCGGTAACTGGACATTTGGCATGTTGAGTGGCAAGTTAAAGAAGGGTAAGCCCATGGATGATGGGTCTGAAAAGGGGTGACCGGCGCCACCATCCCCGTCTCCGTTTCCGCCTCCACCTCCGCCACTACTCGCAGCCGCTTCCTCTTCATCTAATGGCAGCCTCTCATACGCTACATTCGTAAAAGAAGCTGCTATGACGATTACTGGCCCAGAAGCAACCAGAGCTCCGACAACGTTTCCACCGACAACCTGTCCTTGTCCACCCGCCAAGTAAATAGTCAAACTGGTGGCACCCGGTGGTGCCGGAGGAGGCAAGAACGATCCCGACAGCGAAAGTATCTCGAACCGGCCATGAAGGGTCACAACAGATCCGGTGGCAGCCGGCTGCCGGAGGCTAACGTTGTTCACGGTTCCGCTGCCGCTAACTATGCAAATCCCACGTTGACGCTTCCTGGCATAATCGGCAACAGATTCAAAAACGTCGCATCCACTACTAATCTCGAGGATGTGAGCTCGTAAGGTGTTGGCGCTCTCACGAGTAATGATGACTGGTGGTTTGGGCTTGTTCTTGGAACCAGGAGGACGTCCACGAGGACGGCGGCCGCCGCCACCGTCGCCGGAACCAGGGGTGGTTTGGTTGGTATCGTATTCGGAGTCAGGAGGGATTTGGAGATGGAGATCAGGGCGGTGTTGGAGGGTTTGGAGATTGAATGGGGAAGTAGAACTCAAGTCTAAGTTACTAGCCATGTAGAACAAGAGAGAAAGAGGAGAAGAATAATAAAGTATGATGGTAATGGAGGAAATTTAGGGTTTAAAAAAAAAGAATACATGAGCCTTATTTTTTTATTACATGTGGGAAGGGGAGAGAGAGAGAGAGAGAGAGTATATATATATATATATAGGAGAGAGAGAGACATAGAGTTTATATATATATATATATATATATTTGGATCATGTGAGACTAACTTGTTTTAATGAGATATGTGAGAACATTTTTATACACTTAAAACTTCACGACAAAAAGGTGCGTATGTTTGACTTTTTTTTTTTACCTTTACAGCATTTTGCTGTAAAGTGTCAAGTGTAAAAAACTGGTCTCACAGATCTCACAAAAACAGATTGGTCTCATGTGAACCGACCTTTTATATATATATATATATATATATATATATATATAAAGAGAGAGAGAGAGAGGGGAGGTTTAGAGAAAAACCTCAAAAAATGAAAAACTTAAGAATACTCATTTTGGACCGTATACATATGTACATATAAGTAATTTAAGTTGTTTTTTGATTTGATGTAGGATTGTATGTTGCATACCGGACAATTTGTTTATAAAGTACTTGTATTCATATGTACATACGGTCCAGATGAACGATTATGAGATTGTTAATCGATTTTTCATGTTTTTTTGATAAATTTTCGTAAAACTAACCCTATATATATATATATATATATATAACACATGGAGGAAATTGATAGAATATGAAATATTTATAAATGATGTCATCAATTTCTTGAATTTATGGAAAGAATTTAGGGTGTATTTGGTTGGATAAAATATAATGATCATCACATCGTGGATAAAATATAATGGATTATATAAATAAAGCGAAATAAGCACACATTTAAATAAACAAATTAAAATTTCAAAAGGATCTTTTCATAAGTAGGTAATGAAATAAATAAATAACAAAATACTATCACTAGATTAATAGATTTTGCTAACAAGTCTTGTATTCAAACATATTTTATTATATATAATAAACAATTATTAATTAAATAAACAATTATTAATTAAATAGAATGATAATAAAATAATTAATTTTTATTTCCAATTTTCTTTAAGTTGAATAGAATAGTTTTTGGGGTGTTTGAGATTGCTTATTTGAAACGATTTATATTTTTCTATAAAAACACTTATCAACTTATTATAAGTCAGAAGAGTTTAACTTCTTTAAAAACTTATTATTACCGGTTTGACACCGGTATAAGTTGTTTATCCAAACACTTAAAAATGCTTAATAACGGTGACACACCGAAATAAGTCAATAAGTTATTTTTATAAACAATCTCAAACACCTATTTATTTGAAGTGTAATAATTCTGTTAGGATACGATCCAAATCGATAACATTTTGCAAATATTAGTTGCTTGAACATTTTTTTTAATATAATTTTTAGAAAAAAAATTTAAATTACCATTCAAGCGTCTCAAAATTACTTACTAATAATGACGTCATCTAAGTAAACGACAACTAATATTTAAAAATTTTAAAAAATTATATTTGATAAATTGACATTGCATCAATAATTACGACATGTCACATATTTCTTATATTTCATGATTAGAATTCCATATTAAATAATAAAAAAACTTCTCATTTTAATTACATAATTTTAGGGGGCGAGTGTTTATGATTGCTTATTTGAAACAACTTATATTTTTCTACAATAACATTTATTAACTTATTATAAGTTAGAAGTGTTTAACTTCTTCAAAAACTCTTTATTACCGGTTTGACACCGGTATAAATTATTTATTCAAACACTCAAAAATGTTTATTGATGGTTAATATGGGTCTTGTTCTTTCTTTATTGTGGGTTTTTATCTTTCTTAAGGTAAGAAATTGACGGAAAACAAAAAATGAGAGATTTAGATGGTGAGGGATCCGTGAGTGGAAAAGGTGAAAACGGAAAAGGAGGACGGTGGTCGGAAATGGTGAAAACGGAAAAGGAGGACGGCGGGCGACAATAGAGTTGTAGAGGGCTTGATTTTATTTTATAGATGATATTGATGTTACGTAATTTTTGAAGTTCTATTTTTTTTACTTTTTTTTTTTATCATAACGGACAAACGAGACCTTTAAATATGCTAAAAATTTATTGTAAACCGTACAATGATAAATTTGAAATAAGAATCAACATAACATTTGTTTATTTTAATGTAATGTTTTATTAAAAGATAGCAATAACAATTTATGCATACTATATTATATTAATTTATAATCATACATATTTTAAAATAAATAATAAAATATTTGGTTTTAGATAAAATTCATTGCTAAAATGGTTTTGATATTGATGGTTTTAAGATGTTGGACTCATATTTAAATATTTTATAACAAGACAACAAGAATGAAAAATAATAAAGAGTTGAGTGTATTTGTGTATTTGTGTTTGAAACCGAAACCATGAGATTTTCATTATAAACTTGAAACTCACGCTATATATCTTTTGTTATTTTATTTATATGGAATAAGAATTTCTCAACAAATTATAATTTATACTATATTATAGAGTATTTGACAAAAAAAAAAATTAAAAACTATTTTTTATACATGAAGTACTGTTTATTGATACATATTACTTAAAATTCAAGATTATAAGTAAATTATGCGTAAGTACAACTTATTAAAGCTCCATTTTTTAATTCATATAACTAACTGCAGATAAACATTATCAAATATAGAATAAACATAATCAAATATAGGATAAACATCTCATTTTAAATAAAAAAATCTAAAATATAATTAGGATAATCATTGAGTTCTAACATAATTATTATCCTTATAGAAATTATATTGTTAAGTCAAAAATAAATTACTTTGTTATTAAATATAAATTAAATTATAATAAAAGGTTAAATTAAAGAAATTGTATTAAAAAAAGAGAACTTTTAAATAATTAATTTTATATTGATATATTTTTTTCAAAATATTATGATATCTTCATATTTATCTTTATTCAAAAGTGAAAATAATATATTCTTCTCAAAATCATATAAACCGTATTATATTAACAGAGACAAAAAATAAAACGGAATACTTAAATAAAGATGTATCTCGTTGTATTGCACGAATATCTTTCTAGTAACCTTTAATGTATTTAGTATGTCTTTGATAAATATAATACTTTTACAATTTGTTTTTAAGAGTTTTTCTAGAATATATATATATATATATATAGAGAGAGAGAGAGAGAGAGAGAGAGAGTTTGGTTCAAATACTAACCAATAAATTTGTGTTAACTATRCTAACCAAGMTYAACCAATCATATTCCAYMTTTTCTTTATGTTMAAATGTAACTCATATATTAAATACAAGAGTAATTAGATAATTTGACATTCATGTAACTCCCAAATAATTAATTGGGAGTTACAAATCTAAAAAATCTCATTAATTGATCATGATGTAATATTGTATTTGATTTCATACGTGTTCATGATCAAAATTTACAAATGATGTTCTCCTGCATATAATTATATTGTTTTCGTAAGTGTAAAAGATTTACATATCGTCCGAGTAATATGAATAAACATATTGTAAAACAGATCGACAACAATGGAAATGACAAAGTTAAAATCGTCTATGACTACATTCGGAATTCGAATTCCGATAATGAAGAAAATGATCATAGCGTTCCTATTGGTAAGTGATTAGTATGACATTTGAATTCGTTTAAATGAACACATATCAAAGACAATAGATGTTCATATCGATACATATGCACAATCACATCAAATACTAACCAAGAAATTTGTGTTAACTATACTAACCAAGATCAACCAATCATATTCCACATTTTCTTTATGTTAAAATGTAACTCATATATTAAATACAAGAGTAATTAGATAATTTGACATTCA